AACCGACCACATCTGCAAGGAAGAAGAGCCGACGACTCAGCAGCAGACACCTTATCAACAGGTACAGATCTGATCATTCATTTCTCACTTTTGTTGCTTTTTCTATTTAAAATCATGTAAAGTAGAGGCGGGCAATTAATTTTCTAAGTGGCAACATGAGAAACTGGGACTGTTGTGAAGGGCAGCACCAATAAGCTGAACTATGTATTCATTTTCTCTTTGATTATCGATGTAGCCCTCCACAACAGTCCCAATTTCAAATGTTGCCATTTGGGAAAATGAATTTCCCACCCCTCATCCAAAGGAAGATACACTTGTAAAGCCTTAGCCTTTAATCTAAACTATCCCCAGCTTATCTTGCTAATAATTGTTTTATTTATTTATCCTTTTCAGAGTTGAGTCTGGAAAGGCTGGTTGCTTTTCTCCTAAAACAAGCAAAAAAGAAGCTCCACACAAGTCCCTGCGCTTGCGTTTTAGCCTCGGGGGGAAGAGCAGCAAAGACGCTGTAAGTGTGTTGGCCTGATGGAAATCAACCACTTCTCTGGTTTTCCCATAAACACTGAAAGATTAGTCAAGTGCATTCATGCATAATCTGCAATTAATACATTTGCACATGAGGAGTGATGTGGCATGTATTTGTGCACAGTAGCACTTTTTTATTGTTGTTTTTAATGTACTAAGTTTACTTAAAGTGACTAACTCTAAAACAAGTAATCCATGCAGGACTTTAAAGGTAATCGTAATTGTAATATGATGTAATATTACTGACTAAATTGTGATATTTGCATGGCACCAAACAATAGAATGGTGTTTGTTATGCTTAGATTTCAGTGATTTCACTACACTAAGCACGCAGGTGGACGAATGTTAATAAATGTGTGTGTGTGTGTGTGTGTATATCTATCTATCTAGATATATCTCTATCTAGATAGAGATAGATAGTAACCAGTGTTTGAGTACATTGTGTAGGCTGTTTAAGGCTCTATACTGATGCTTTATAGTCATTTGTGTATTCTTGATTTAATAAAAACTTTAAAAAAAATCAAATGGATTGTTTCTTCTGAGTGATTTTTATCATCCTCTGAAGAACTAACCGCAAAAGTCATGATATTAACATCTTAATGTTACTTTTTGGTTTTTTTCTGTGGGATCCTTTTTAACAAAATACTACTCTGACATTTCACCCTCTTTCATTTCTCATTTCATGCCGCTCATCAAGGCTTCTGAGTCCATTGGTTTACGACTTGCCAAACAGGAGAGCGCCACCAGTTTCCGTTTCACCAAAGAGACAGAGTTCATTCCATCAGTTCAGCCTGGAAAAACTGAATCCAAGAGTAAGTACCAGACAGCTGAACTTTATGCTTAAAATAAAATATTAAATCTTCTTGTCATGTAATGCATATCAAAAATGTGCCTTTCCAGGCTCCAAGTTCATCAGTAAGTCTGAAGACAACTTGCTGACGCCCAGATGTGTCTTAAATGCCCACCGAAGCTTGTGGTGTGCGGAGACGCCCGTAGGAGCCCAGGCCTTGAGCGGCGGGTCTTTCACGGATACGCCAATGAACCTGTGTCTTAAAAGCAGCTACATGTCTGAGCCCGCCATCGTCGTGTCCAAGCCCCCAGCAGTAAGCAGCCTTCCCATGAAGTTGTGTTGTGCTTCCAGTGCAGAGAGCCTCGAGAGCGAGAGCTCAATCCCTGAAGCCCAGAGACAAACCGGTCCCACCCTGCTGAAAATCAAGAAGGCCTTCTCAGAGTCTGGAAGTGATCTCCAGGCTGTCATACAGGAGTCCCGCAAAGCCTCAGGAGCAAGTATTTCAAAACCATCCAACATGATCACAGACCCTCCTCCAGAGACTTCAACAGCCAAATCTCTGTCTGTGCCAAGTGAAGCCCCCAGCTTCTGTATGCAGCAGAGCCTTCTGGCTAATGAACAGAACATTACTTTTGGCCAGATTGAAATTGCTGCTTTGTCTCCTTTGCATATTGATAGTGTAGTTCTTGAGGCTGCTGAATCCCACAGCCCAGTCATCCAGGATGGGAAAGGTTCTCTCTGTGCTGCTCCTGCTGGTGGGAATAACAGCTTCACAGTAGGAGCAGGAGAAAGGGAGATGGAGGAGATGAACTGCAGCAAGTTGATTGATGCTCTGGATATCCAAAGTCCTGCTCACTTCAGACTAGGTGTCTCTTCTGGACGGCAGTCAACTCCATACAAACCAGGTCTTGAACTCCGAAATGAGTTTGTTACACCACCTAAAACTGACGCTGTAGTCAGTGTGTTACATGACAAGAGGGAACTTCCTCCAGAGATTGGTACCAAAGTCCAAAAACAACCAACGTTTTCATCACACAGTCAGGAGGCTGAAAGGCGTCGTGTGGCAGACCACATTCAGCACTTCAACAAGCTCACCATTTATTCTCCCACAGGCTCAAAGAGCAATCAGATCAAGTCGCCGCTTAAATTCCACCGCACCCCTGTGCGTCAGACTGTTCGCAGGATTAACTCTCTCATGGGAGAGAGCAGGAAACCTGTTAGAAATGCAGGTACCATCACCAACCAGCGTGGACAAGTAGCAAAGGCTGTGAGTCTAGAGAGTGGCCTTTCCCCTCACCCAAAACTTCAACCTCACCACGGAGAACACGAGGTGCCATCCAGCCACACGTGCCCTTTACAGAAGCCCCCTCCAGTGCCTCCAAAAAAGTCACGCACCAAGTCCTGTGTGCTGGGCGACGTGACCAACAAGGTCCAATCAAAGACCCAAGTGGACTGCTCAACCAATGAGCCATCAGGAGCTCAGAAGCCTCTGCAGCAGCTAGCCGGGAAGGACATGAACTATTACAGAGGTTCACCCAGAAACCCTCTCAACCAAGGAAGGCTGCTGTCTGCTACGAAGCCTGTCGATTTATAGTGAATATCCATTTGGCCTCTTCTCTCCTTTAACTATGCAGGTGTCTGCTGAGAGTGATGTTAAATGTCCTAACCTATTCATGTTTTCAGGGTCTTAAATTATTGTCAGCTGTCTAGATGCTGTTTGTGTTATTTTAGGGTCTTATTGGGAGATGTTTGTATGCCTTACATTTGTTTTACTTCAGTAAAACCAATTTAGAAGTTAAGATGTCGACACATATCAGCCTATAAGATTACGTTTAGTTAGTAGTGTGCAGGCTAAATTGTGTAAAATGTGATTGGTGTGACTGGGATGTTTTGATTGAGTCATTATATTTATGCCCTTTTAATGTTAGGTAGATGTTTGGGGGGGGGGGGACTTGACTGAAGTGAAAGGGTTTTTATTCCATATTATTATTGTCATGTCTTGAACAGGGGAAGAAAACATGCACCTTTGTTGGATTTTGTGGGGAGGAAAAAAAGCAAACAGTGTTCATGAAATCACATGTCTATTGCAGGCCATTGTTTTTCAAGTCTTCAGCTATTTTTCTTTTCTTTTTTTGTGCTAACTGCATCAGACGAATAAAGTCAAACAACATGATTTGTTTTGTGGAATAATTTTTGGACTCCGTGCAACCACCAGGGGGAGTGCTACAGCTACTGCAGACAGCTGCAAAGTGAGATGCGGCTGCACTGGGATGTTAGCGCAGGCCTCCAGAATGTGTCAGCTGGAAGTTTAGAGTGTTTACACTAACTTGTTGAAGATCTATCCAGATTTAAAATATATTACTTGAGAAATATATGACGTTATTTACAACATTTATTTAAACGTAGTTGAGTTTATATAAAGATTTAAAAAACCGGTTACTATTTTTATTTTATTTTTTTGTCCAACATTTTATTTTTTGAGTCAGCAATCTGACTCAAACTGAGAACTAAAGCCCCAGATACTATTAAAAATGTAACATTATGTACTTGACTAACCCGGCATGAAGAAAGCAAATTGACATTGTATCCCCCCTGCAGATTCGGAAGCCTTTCCCGATCGGGTGAGGGTTAAAATCATTCCTGGAGATTTATTCCTCAGCCCATTTGGAAGCTTGCCATCCTTCATGTGTGTGAGGTATGACTGGACCTGGGGCAGAATGCCACGCTTTAATCTCATGTTGCACTGACCGGAGCGCATGGTCTTTTGGGGGGTTGACGACTCATGACGTTGTCATGACCCCTAAATACGTCAGATTGGGCAATGTAATAAGCGGGTGGGTTTATGCTGGGGGAAGGTGGTGCGGCTACTTATCAGCTTCCTTAAAGTTCCCTTTCACAGGGCTGGAATGGTTAAGAAAACTTTAGGGATGCCAGGTTTTTGACAATAAATAAATAAAAATCCGTCAACTGGGTCATTTTAGAGTCACGTCAGCAATTTCTAAAACCATTTACTTTTTAAAAAAAAAAAAATGAAAAGGCAAACGTTTATGCCTTCATTAATGCCAAACATGAAGGATACAACATCATCTATGAGACTAATCCCAAACTTCCTCTTGAAGATGACTGATTTAAAAAAAACAAACAAACACACAAAACAATTGAGCTGATAAAATATGGACTAAGCCGAGATCACGTGACTCGTTTGGGTCATAAATGAACAGGTATTAGTGAAATGATTAAACATATACTCTGGCTTAGGCTACACCACTGCGCTTTTTCTGCGTTTGTACGAAGCAATGCAATTTTAAAAAAAATGCCTTTAATGATTTTTGTTTTTCTCAGGTCTGTGATACATGAAGCGCTACCCTTATTTCAGGCTGGACCCTGCTGAATGGATGGAAATGGAGTTCGACTAACTGGTGTCACAGGTGCTGCATTTTGGCTCATCTTTTAAAGTTTGTCTGTAACTGCATTTGTTTGCTTTAGCAGCTCGAGCTCCGCTTTTCATTTATAGTTGCACATTTACATATAATGCACCGTATTATGGTCGTGTCTTCTTGAAACATGTAAACAAAAACAAACAAACAAAAATCGCACTTTTACTTTTCCCCCCAGTACGCACTCAGCTCCCTCTCCCTCCCTGCCTGCCTTCTTTCACTGTTGCTCGGTTGTCTGTGGGCTAAGGGAAACTGTTGAGGGGGCGGATAGTCTTGATTTTCTCTACATCGTGCTTAGCCAATAACTGCTGTGCACATCTCAGCTGGCAGACATTTAAAAGGGAGACAGTCCGGCGCTGTAGCAATTTGTATTAAACCCCCTGGCCCCTGTCTATGGAGCGCTTAGTCTCCCACCCATCCACAGTCCCACCAGTGCACAGTCGACACCAGTAGGTACCTATCATCTCGAAAGGTGCCGCAGTGAAGCTCGAGGACCAGATCATCGCACTTGTAGCAGCAGTGTTGCATAGCAGGTATTTCTATTTGTTTTTTAAACATCATGATATATAACTTATAGAAATGGTAAAACTGCATGCTTTTCTATCTCTTGCTGCGCAAGTGTGGAGCCACTAACGGTTTACAGGACATGTGACATGGTTTATTACTGTTTTTAGATAAATTCGGCAGGAATATTTTGGAGAATGGATAATTATGGGAACATAATTATATTATTCTGTCATTTATTTGGACTGAGGTGACTCAAATGAATGACTGCTTTTAAACGTCAGCCTCCTTTTCATGTTGTTTCAACAAAGAAGAAATGATGGGGAAAAAGTTCCCTCGGTGCGTTTTTACGCAGCGTAAAAACTATGACAGCTGTGCGTAACCCATGCAGAGCCGAAAACTGTGTGAGTGACGAACCATTTTCTTTTTCTCTACAAGGATGGCCAACTCCACGCATATCTTCTACAGTATGGTTTTCATCATTGGGCTGCTCTCCTCTCCGGTGGATGCAAAAAGAAACAGAGGTTCACAAGGCGCCATTCCTCATCCTGACAAAAGCAACCCAAACGAATCGGAGCAGCAACCGCAGACTCCGCAGGCGGGCTCGGGCTCTCGCCAGAGGCCGGGCTCATCCTCACCCGCCGACGAAGTGCTGGAGTCCAGCCAGGAAGCTCTACATGTGACGGAGCGCCAGTATTTGAAACGGGACTGGTGCAAAACACAACCTCTCAAACAGACCATCCACGAGGAGGGCTGCGTCAGCCGCACCATCATCAACCGCTTCTGTTACGGACAGTGCAACTCCTTCTACATCCCCAGGCACATCCGGAGGGAGGAGGGCGCCTTCCAGTCCTGTTCGTTTTGTAAACCGAAGCGTTTTACCACCATGACTTTCACATTGAACTGTCCGGACCAGCAGCCGCCCACCAAGAAGAAGCGCATCCAGCGCGTCAAACAGTGTCGCTGCATATCCATAGACCTGGACTAAAACACAGCGATTATGTGTGTGTGTTTCATGTCTTCTTTTTCTTCTTCTTCTTCTTAGTGGACTTGATAGCTGTCTCACAGCCAAGAAATTGTGCTCGTCTCCATCTGGAGATAAGCACCGCACACGCTGATACTTACGTCTCTCCTGTACAGCACGTGAGCCAATATGGACATGCAACTTAAAACAAAATAATAAAAAAAAAACGTCAAAAGCAACTTGTTACACATCACCAGACTAAAAAAAAGATCACTGCACGGAAACTCTTACTTGGAATGGGCATGCTTTACGCACGGCTTCCTCGCCCCCACAGGACTGCAGAATACCGGTTTATTTAACTGCTCCAAAACAGTCCTTGTGACTGTTAAACGTCTCCGTCCATCCTGCATTTTACGCATATGTGTTTGCTAAACTGGATGTTTCCACTGTGTGGAATTTGATAGGCGAACGACTTTATTTGTAAAAGGAGAAAAATGATTTTATTTCGATATTTCAAGAATCGTTCAAGGTTAACCTAATTGATTTCTGTGAATTTCGAAGTCCATTAGTGAAGTTTTCTTTCTATTTTTATTTTTTTTTGAAGTTGTGAGCTTACTCAAATATAGAAACTATGGCTTCTGAAGTTAGTTTAAATGGAAGTGTACAGTGGTGGCTTATACATTACCGAGGTGAAATAGTTGTAAAATGTTAAGCCATTTTTGATGTAACCCATTTGTTTATTCATTTGATTAAATTATCCACGAAAACTAAATAAATGGATGCTGGAATACTGCGAAAATTATTTGCTGCGTTTAAAAAAAACAAAAAAGCTAAATCCCTCCATTCACCGTTTCCTGCACTGAGCCAGGATCTTACCGAGTTACTCGCATTCAGACCCTGGAATATATTTTAAAGTCCGTTTTGGAAAAAAAGCTGCAAGTCAGCTATTCCAGCGATCTGCTGAAATGATGGGATTCAATTTCACCGCATCTGGTTACAAGGCTCGCAAATCTGTCAGGTTCTTAAGGGAATTCTCAAGTGTAAATGAAAAGATGTTCTACTAAATGAACATATTTATAAATAAGTGGGTGATGGGGGAAAGATTTTAGAATTAGAGGCTTTGTTCTTTAGCCAGTCTACAATAAATACGACTGATGTATTCAGTCACAGTTTGCATGACTTTGGTTCACATAGATGTCAGTTACAGTTGAGGGAGGTCCCAACATTTCATTAAAAAGGGGAAAAAAAAATCATTTGGAAATTTTCTGATTCTTATTTGATCAACAAAGTTTTTTTTAATGAATATGTAATAACAGTTTTAAATCTCATTCAAATTATTAAAATACCAACCTCATTCAATTTTACATCCATTAAACCGATGTCATGAGAATTTCCTCCCAATTATTTTATTTCAGGAGATTTCCAGGAACTGGCACAACTTCTGACTCAGTTTATTGAACAGTCTGGCTGAATTATGAATCAGCGAATGACTCAGGTTCCTTACATAAATATCATATTTTCACAGCGCGGGCCTAAATCGAGGCGTTGACAGCAGAAAACTGAAAGAAGCCGCATTAACATATCTTTCAAAGTCCACGTCTTCGTCCAAAACAAGCTCCACTTATTCAGCATCCCACAGTTTATTTCTTGAAATTTAAAACAATTCCATAAAATTACAAAGCATTCACATGAGAGCTACTGAAGGTCACATGAACCAACATACATACAGTAGAGGCCACAGCAATTCCTTGGTCAGCATCTGCTCATTTTCTTTATTTTTTATGTTTCTGGTTTTGTTTTTCCAACCCCTCTGGAGTAAAATATAGCAGTTTTAAAGTTTCGACTTATATAGATTTGTATACAAAATGAATGGCACAAGTGAAAGACTTTGGAGGGTAAAAACAAGTAATCGATCGAAGGGGCAGTTTATGGAAAGTGTGACGATGAAATCTGAGGTATAACATCTCGCATGGCTCCAGGTGATCATCTTAAATGTTCTCAGTACCCAAAATACAGTCATCATTACTCCAAAATATAAACATTAAACTTTCTGTCTTTATTCTGTGCAAAGCACTCGACTTCCATGAGCACGCTGGAAATCTTTGCAACATACATTTAAAAAAAAAACAAAAAACCCATGAATCAACTGACCTATCAAGCAACTTCTTAGTCAATTCAGTTACCAATCAAAATATACAAAACAAAGCTGGCTTTTTTTCTTTTTGGGAGGGGGGGGCATAAAATAATTATTTTGTTACATAAATACAATTTTCTTTAGTGATACAGGAGCATAGCTACATCTTACATTAGTGAAAATAAAGCATGATTTTATTACACTTTCTATTTGTTCAAAAATAAAATAAGATTTCATCATGAAGAAATATCATTTATACATTTTCTAACGGGAAACGTTACTCTTGCATAGGAAAAAGGAGGTGCAAAACAGTGAAAGACAGCTGCAAAAACAACGCATGCGGTCAGCATGGGGGGTAAAACGACGTGCAGCAACATACAGCTAAAGCAAGCAGCTTAAAACTGTGTTGGGACAACGTCATGTACAGCATTCACTGAAGGATTAATAAGTTCTCTTTAAAACTGCAGGTGAGCGCCAAAACCTGTTGTGTCATTCAAAACTATTACCATTATTTTTTCTTAGTCCAATTTTGTGTGAGCCGAGGCTCCGGGCCAGATTTGTTGCCAGCTTCTGCTCTCCTCTGGCCGTCACCCAGGAGAGGTCAGTCTGGTGCAACACGCAATACAGCAAAACCTCACATTCTTACACATAGGCCCCCCCGCCCCTTTAAACACGCACTCAACTTCTAGACAATTTCTACACGACGTGTCTTCGTCCGCACTTAAAGCCCAGCATAGATAATCTATCATATTTCCCAAAGCTGTACAGTCCCTGCCAGTTCTACTACATGACATATTTACAAGACTTTTAATGAGCCGTGGTGAATGAAAAGCTACCCGCTACAGCGAAAGACACAGGAAAGTTCTTTCTCCCTGCTCCAAGTGAGAGATCTGTTTTGTCAACAGTGATTTTTTTCTTACCCCTCCCAGCAGACACTTGCAGTAAAGCCATATCTGTTTGTAGGTCGACAACAACGTCTAAGAAACACAGCCCGCGCTGGGGCATTGTTTTAACACATACGCTATCTGATACAGTTTGGAAAAGAAACCGTTTCTCGTGCTTCGGAAGAGGTCCAGAAGGACGCTTGTGGATGTGTCAGCTGGCTCTGCTGTGCATCCCGCTGAACCCTGGAGACCTTTCACAAGCTGGGCACTCAGGGGTCACGCCATGCTGCATGAATGAGGTCAACCCTTTGGCCTTTATGACTCCCCTCACTGCGGCTGCGGTGGCCAATCGTCTTCGCTAACTGGGGTTGTGACAAAAAAGCCTCGAAGCGAAGGCGGTGGAGAACAGGGGAAGGGGAGGGGATGTCCAGTGCTGTTAGTGGGGCACAGATACGGTAGTGGGAGTAGTAAAAGTCTGACCATGTTTTATTGTGAGTCCGTACGGTGAACAGAGGGTAGGGTCCAGTGCTGCTGAGGCAGGTGGTAACTGCAGGATGGATGGGCCCCTGCACCCTTCCTGGCGCACCACCGCCGGTCCGTGCTTCTTCTGCTCTGCCACTTATCATTCTGCTCAGCTGGAGGAGACGCTGGCTTCCTTCTGTCGCAGCCTCTCCTTCTGTTGGCAAGAACCACAAAAAGATTCAGCGCATTGATTTCAGCTGCGACACAAGAAAGAGCGGCTTTTGGGAAATTCCATTTGGTCTCTGAATACAGATCAGCTCTTACCAGACTGTTGGCATTGATCTTCTTGGTTTCGACTCTCTTCTCTGCTGTGATCTTCTTGATGTTTTCCTGGGCTTCCTTCAACCTATGGAAAGAAGAAAGAGACCAGCAAGGCTCAACGTTATCAGACAGTCTAAAAGAAGTACACAATGAAACTTCTGCAAATCCAGGTGTAACCAGATCAAATACAAAGCCTCTCATCCTTGCACTCTTGTGAATTTGTTTAAAAGCAAGACATTTAAATATCTTCCTGGGGCACCACAGAGCCATGCAGTGCCCTCCCAGCCACACAAACACACACTCTCTCTGATCCTCTCTGGAGTTTGCGGTCAGTGAAAGCCCTTTAAGTGGGAATGAGCAGAGAATGACAGCAGCTTGATGAGATAATGAGGCAACCTTAAAAAAAAAAACACACTTGGCTTTTTATGAGATCACAAACAGTATTTAAAATAAAGTTAAATGTACATAAGCACAATCAGCTGCGAGCAACAAGCGGCACGATTATCTAGTAAACAGGGAAACCATGTGATACTTAATAATGTGGCATAAAAATGACCACACAGTCTCTCTGGACAGCGAGAGCTCACCGCTTCCTTCGAGCTTAGCATCGCTACGGTGTTTATCAGTTCTCTAATAACACGCAGCCTTTAAACCACCACAGGCCACTGTCCGCTTGCCGGTCCTTTTTCTGGAACCCCACAGCCCACTACCAATTACGCCTCAGGTCAGAGGAAACATAAATTCAGGCCCCTGTCGCAGGACCAAGGCCGCAGCTACTCCCCCATTCACCTCCTCTTTGATGGCCTCCCTCCTTGCTTTAATTACAACCCGGCATCTGCACATCACCCTTGTACAATTAGTGCTAATTTGACATGATGTCCAGAGGTGTTAAGCACCAATCCGAAGGTGACAGAAACAAAGAAGTCTAATCTGAAATGATTATGTTTTGAGTCTTGCAAAGTTTTACATTCCCTTCCTGACATTAGTTGTTTTTTTTTAGAATGATTATTTCTAGCATACTCACAGAAAACAGGGAAAATTCAGTCATGTTTTTTTTTTTCAAAGATTGTTGGATTGTTCAGTAACCCTAATAACGCCCTTCCTGACTCCTTTCTCCTGATTTCTTCTGAGACTTAACCCAAGTAGTGGTACCAGCTCACCTCTCCTTGGAGATGTTCTTGCTTTGCCGTATCCAAGTGTTCTTGAAATCGTTGCAGAATTCGTACCAAAGCATAAAGATGTAACTTGGAGCTACTTCTTTCTCCCCGGACTTTGGCTTAACACCAAAGTAGTTCACCACGTCTTGGAAACTGTAGGGAGGGGTGGAAACACAGCAAAGGCTCAAACAGTGTTGTCTTATCACACATAAATAATCTCAGATTTTGACTGAAAGTATGTTTTTGTGAACTAATCTGGATTTTAAACAACATTAGAAAGTACAAGGCAGTTACGGTATGTAAACCCGTGAAACCAGAGAGAGCGAGAGAGGAAAAGAGTTTAAAATAGTAAAATGTAGAGAGAAAATGATGGATTTAGAGTCAGCAGGAGAGGTGAGAAACAGAGCTGGAAGGAGAGTGTCCACCCTGCTGGGCCACAGGGGAGAGCCAGTAGCGGCGGCTCCATTATCACATTGACCTCCACAGCCTGCATGGGAAGACTGCCAGAAGAGATGAAGACAGCCAAGAACAGGCTCCTATTCCTCCAAACACACCTTCTGTCTCTCTCACAAACATGTACGTTTTCACATATTAGTGAGGACTTTAAATTCACATGCTTTTCCTAGCCTCCTACCTTAACCACCAGAAATGAATGCCTAACTCTAACCATAACTTAAATGTAACTTCAGCTGTAAAACCATATTTTGAGCCTCAAACATGCCTTCAAATTAGTGAGCTCAGCATTTTGTCCCGACAAGTGACTGTTGGTCCCTACAAGTATAGTGGTCCTAGAAACACATTTAAACAAGTATACACACGACACACACACACGCGCGCTACTATGGAACTCACAACCACAAAAACATGTTCACTGGCAGACAAATCAAAGACGGGAATGCACACATAAAAACACAAAGACAAATCAGAGGAATAAATGTAGTCTGGATTTTTGAGGGTGTTTCTACTCACTGAGCTACAACACTGTTTAAGGCCAGCTCCTCAGCTTAATTCAATTGTAACCAAATCTGAAGTCTTCGCAAGGCTCTCAGGGGCACACACGAGGCAAGAAAAGCAGCCTGCTGCTTCAGATTCCCCCTTCTCTAACCCAAACATGAAAGACATTTTCTGGCCTGTGCCTGTCCAAAAAAAAAAAAGAAAAAAGAAAAAAGGGGGGGTTGATAAAAGGGAGCCATGATTCAAGGGATGCTCTCCTGTCCCACTGACGCCCAAATACGCTCTGACCTCCAGATGCTAGGTGGCTTTTGTGCGACACTAATCTGAGACAAGTTCACTTGGAGTCAAATGGTGCACAATATGGTGACCAGACGGCCAGCTACAAGTTTGGAAAAAAAGAAAGAAAAGTTTTTGCATGAGTCTGCTTCCCATTTCCAAGTGATGCGTCATTTTTGCTGGGATGCACAAAAACAGGAGAGCGCTGTAGATCATCCTGTAATCTAAAGAAGCAGCTAGAAGAAGAAAATGTTCCAAGATGTTTAGATTGACCAAAACAGACGTGCTGTCACAGGCAGCTTTGTTGTCTGCTCTGGCATGACGAACTGGGTCTCTTCTCCACCGGCTCGTCTCTTG